GAGAGACTTTGGGGCACCGATTGAAACGCTTATTAATGCGAGAAACGCTTCCGCATAATTTCGCACTACTTAGACATTCGATCGGAACTTTTGTTGCTCGTCTTGAAGATGCGCAATGTACGAACACGGAGATTAAACAGCTATTACATTAATTTTGCAACACGCGTTTTACGCTGCATGGAACTCACTGCATTATCGCAATTCGTTATTCTCGATCGATGCTCGGTCTATCCCGAGATATAACTGATAGGGGTGTTATTTCCTTATCGCGAACAGCTAGAGACCGATAGGGTTCGAGGAAAATTAAAAAGCTTCAAAGAGAGAATCTAGTGCAATTGCGCGGAAAAAAAAAGAAATAGAAAAATAGAGTGGATAGATCTAGCACGGACCGGTCTCGCAGATTGAACGAGCCGGAGAATAAAATCACTTCTGAAACTACGTGAGCCCGACCTAGACACGCAAAGGGCGAAGAACCTTCGGTTCGTGGCTTCCAGCCGAAACCACTCGTCATCCTTTAAGAGTCTGGCGGTCGCTGATTAAGGCTCCTGTTCTCGCGAGGAGGAGGGCCGACGGTAAAGAAAGAGAGAGAGGGAGAGAGAGAAAGAAAAGGAAGAAGAGAGAGAGAGAGATTAGGCTACGTCCATGAAAGTTTACGGTGCTTGGGCACCCGTAAACGCCATATGGCCCGAAAGTCGCCATGTTTCCATCGTTTTCTTTCGCCCCGGAGCGGACTCAGGTCCCTACGCGTCTCTTTATTTTTTCTTTTTTTTTTTTCACAGTAGCTCCCCCTCGTCTTTCGCTACTCGCTCTAGCTTGACTCGAGCTCTCGATTCAATATATTTCTCTTCGAGTCTTAGAAAACTTTAAAATTATGTTTTAACTCGTATAAACCTGATTACGTTAATATAAAAATATCTGCATTTTTTCCGAGCATAATTAGCAATTTGCCATTGAATAAAAATAATTTTGATTAAATACATTGAATACATTTCGTTTAAACATATACTTGCTTCAGAGCATTAAAATAATTACAAGGTCCATAATCAGGCGTGATAGAGAAAAATTAAATAAGTGTGAAATTAGAAAATTTCACGGGAGAGATTACTATAATTAGAAAAAAAATTTAAAAAAAAAGAATACGCGAGAAAAGAGAAACATAAACATACATCTCTCACCGGTGGACGCTCTCAGTACTAATCGGCGCACGATGAAAAGAGGAACTGTTAACTCACCTGAAACAGAAAGAGAACAGGACCGTTATTAGAAGACATATCTTACGGTCGGGGAGCGTGTAATTACGGGCATGGTGTGTTTGTGTGTATATTCTGCTGTTCGCGCGTCCGCTGGTCGGCGCACACAGTACACGGAAATCTCTAAGCACAATAGACAGTGGTCGGACTATCGAACTAACCCGTCGTGTCATCACGGGCGACGCCCACAAGCGCGGGCATTAGGATGAGAGACTCGCATCGGTAGTCCGCTGGCTAAAACGCTAATCGTGACGCCTAATTCTGTCGCGTTAGTTACGCCGTTAAACGGCCGCGACTCACTGATCCACGACTGCGTTAATAAATTCCCCACGCTGTGTTATTGGCGCACGCGAATCGTGCAAGCCGCTGCCGCGCGATGTGTATCAATACTGACGCCGTACAATTAGCATGACTGTAATTTCCGCACCGTTGCGAATAATAATTAAAATATGCGCACGATCGTACGCCGTGTCTAATTTCAATCATGCGAAATCGTGGAAGTCTATATTTTACGATCGTAATTACATTTCTACTATTAAACGTAATTCATAAACTACACTTGTGCTGAAATAATGTGCAGCTTTACCACCGGAAAAATAATTACCTAATAATCAATTCTGAATTTTATACAATTTTAATTTTCTGTCATTATGCATAATTATACGACAGGTATTATTGATATTAAGAGGAGAGTTGCATGCTCCTCGTGAGGCTCTGCTCATCGCCTATTCCACATACCCCCCGCTATTCTTGCAGCGCTTTGACCTCCAGAAAATACTGATTATTTGATCACTCAGTACAGCGCGGTGTCGCGCCGCGTCGCGTCGCGTCGCGTCGCGTCGCATCGCAACTCCCGTCATCATCAACGTCATCATCATCAGCGCGAACAGTACCCCGGGCCGATGGAGGACCGGAGGGCGAACGTATATGAGAGGGAAGATCGCGTACCGAGGATACGACAGGGGTATGTTTCGAAACACATCCAGCTGGCGCCTCTCGGCACTATAGCGGGCGTTATAAGCCCGCTACCAAATCAAGCGTGTGTGACACACTAATAATCGGACATATATATGGTGTCCATATAGTACTCGTGGATACAGAAGCGCGCGTACACACACACGAACGCACACTCGACTATCATCACACGCGTGCTCATATGTGCTGCTGCTATATTGCGCCGGAGAACACACGGAAATGCGCACACATACGTATGTGGGCACGCGCGCGAACACACAGCATACGTATATGTTCGCATATATATGTGCCTGCGCTTTTGCAAACGCTTATGTATGCCAGCGCGTTTCGTATACATATATGCGCGAATGCTCAGGGGATGATTGTTGGAAGATAATCGGGATATCTGGCACCGCGTAGTTGCTTCCTTACGGCGGCATTTTCAGCCGTCGCTTTGGCGTACTGCCGTTCTACTTCGCCGGTCGTACGATATATGTATTAAATGCACGGTAAACTCGGGAAAGTAAAGTTTCGGCATTAAGTATTTATCCGATGACGTGATGCGAGCGACCGATGTAGTTCACGCTAAAAATTGACTCCAAGTATCGAAATAAGTTATCAACTCGCTTATGTATTTAAATGTGGAAAAAAATAGATTTATAAATCTGAAACTATGCTAGTTTATACGCGCCTTAAAAGTTGAAGTTTCGTCGCCCAAATATATTTATACTGTATCAATATCATAAACGTAAAATAATAAATCTATTTTTACGCTACCTGCAAAATAAAAAGAAGAATTACATGGAATATAATACTCGTACTAAATTTCACTAAAATTGCAATTCCACGTCTTCCAGAAGAATTATTAGCTTCATAGAAATTAATACACAGTCGAAAACGCAAGTTGAATACTTCATAAGCGCTCGCGACACAACGCGAAATAGAGTCGTCGTAACTGCTCGGGTATTAATTTATGATTATATGCGTTCCGCATTTATAGCACGAGCCGACCGAAAATATACATCAAACGAGAGCGCGAGCGGAGATGACGATCGTTGCTGTGCGATGATCCCGACGATCCGCGTTTCTTACTTTTCGGCCTCTCCATTCCGCCGATGCTAATTGTCATAATCGCACGGTGCACGCGGCTTCATTAGGATCGTTTGGTCCGCGTGTACACACGCACTAATACGTATGCGTAGACCGACACACGGCGCTCTATGTGCACACCGACACATGTGCTTTACACACACGACTGCATACATACATAGAATATGCAATGTATGTAACGGTAGACACGACGCAAATGCACGGACGCACACAGGGAGGAGAGATGCTCGTATAGATGCGCGTACACGGAGTACGCGTGTCCCGGAGGCGACGTATCCGCGCAAACAGAGCCGGGGGATAATGGTTACCAGCAATGGATATATCGGTGGACGTGTGTTGGGGTCCTAGGATA